GAGGGCGCAGAGCCCAGAATGTCGAAGGCTCGCGAAGCCCGTAATGTCGAGGCCTGAAGAAGCCGTAGGTATCACGTAGGAAATAGTGCCCGAGGGCGATGTCAAGAGCTTGCGAAGCTCAGTGTCGCTGAGAACACTTGTCACGAAGGAAGGTCAACTCTCCAAATCCCTTTCTTCTGGCAGCTGTTAAGGCCCCGCTAGCCCCACAGCCGCCTTTGCTGCCGTTTTGGCCTGTAAAAGCCCTTTGCCCTAGCGGAACGCTAACAGCGGGTGCCAAGAAAAAGTTTTTACAGGAGAGAGTTGTGAGATACAGTCAATCACAGTGAAAATTAGAACGTTAGGGTAGCTCAATTCAATCTGGTTGAACTAATATGGCTCGATCGACTACCGCATACAACTCTTGCGCAAGGCTCAAACCTAATCATTTTGTCTCGAGTATTCCGCATAATCAAGATTGCATAAACCTAGATGATAGACAGAATCGCACTGGCTCCGTTTAACTAGATTGCACTGGTTTCTTCGTTATCGCGCGATATCATTGTGCGCATGATGATGCGGCCCTCTGCTCGATCTTCTTCCTTAAAGATGCTCAAACCGTGAACCTGGAGGAACTTGAACTCGTCCCCATAGTGCTTCTTCACCCATACATTCTCAGTCGCTTTCAGAGGCCCATCAGCTTCGTCTTTATCCTGCGACAGAAGTTTAACATTATCATGCTTCTTTCTTTCGCTGTCCGGCCATTCCGCCCGAAGTAGGTATTTCGTGGATGGATCCAAAGGTGGAGGGCCAACCTTGGGACCGACCGGGGGTCCGCTAAGACGAACTTGGAAAAACCGGACGGCTTGGGTCGCCGGCTTAAAATGGGCTATGAGGCGGCCATCAGAGAGCCTGCGGATGGAACCAGAGGAGTTTTTGGAAAACGAAGTGAAGACACCGTAGTCATTTAGAACGGGCGATCCGATGATGTTGCAGATGATGCTAGGGGCGTGCAGTACGTTCTTCAAACGGAGCGTGCCGTGGGAGCGTGGACCGTTTCGGTTTGGGGATGTCTTCGTGGGGAGGTCGACCGTACCTACGCCAATAACTTTGATCGGAGTTCCAGTCGCGCTGTTAATAGCAGAATTGAGGGCAACGTAATCGTCACCGAACCAAGAACGGTCTTTAGCAACGCTGGTCTTGTTAGAAGGTCGATCTTGCATCGCCAGCCACGGAACGGGTCGGAAGGGAAAACGCACTGAACGTTGGAATTGTTAGACCAAACCCAAGTGGGGCAGGGTAGGTTATCCTGATGTGTCCTCTGTAACGATGCCATGGTGAGGATCAAATTTCTTGACTTGGTACTGTACCATCCATGAGCGCCAGAGGTTAGCTTTAATTTGGGACTTGGGCACCACGGCGTTATCGATAAAGGACTTCACAAACTTTAGGCTGGCTGAACCTGATTCATGATAAAGCAGGGGTCGGCGGCTAATGATCAATGATTTGAGGCGATGTGGAGGTCATCGAGTAGTCCCAAATAGATACTATGATGGATACAGAAAAGGCTGAACGGCTCACGTAGGTATTCCCCTTTTATGAATTGAGTTGACGACCCTTCGTTTACATTATATAAGCCGAGATTGAAAAGTGTCCAACAAAACTTTAAATGCACTTGCACGTGAAGCTTACAGCTGGTATCCCTCAGGAGTCGTCAAAGCTGCACCGCTTGTGAAGACGATGACGCCAGAATGCGCGGCGCCTGGCACCCCACCTGATGGCAAGCCAAGAGCAACACTACAAAATCGCGCATCGTCTCTCCCTGGCATGCAAAACTGATCAGACTAAATGGGTTCTTTTTGGAGATGAAAACTTTACGTGTTTGCGTGCAAGAGTAAGAGCACCTGAAAAGGCCGGGGCATCAGGGAATTAGAGAGGGAAGGAAGAGAGAAAAATGGCGCGTAACTCCCTTAGCGCTGACCTTACGCGATCGCTGCGACAGCAAAGCCCCGCATGGGGCCATCCTCTCACAACACGGCCTCACATCCAACCTTAATGTGCACCGAGGTTGCATGATCAATGTGTCGGCACATCGTTGATGCGGTTTGGAGTTGTTGGCAAGAATGGGGTCAGCAAAACAGACTCTAAACGCAAGCAGGGTTCATATGCCTACAAAGTAGTGTCCGACATGTTCGAGACATATTGACGGCACGAATGAGGTTGTTCTCCGTTGTCGCCAAAAGCGCCCAATGATCCACAGTCAAGTCACACCTTGGACGACGTTCCATATCCTGGAATTGCAAACACGGACTCTTCTTTGTCATGCGTCACTATTGTTACAGGTCATATTACGATCACCGGCAATTCTGAACGTAAACTCAATCGATACTCCTCGGTCTGTGATAGGTTAAATTGAGCGATCATATCATAGTGCCAAACCGAAAGTATTTGCACGTCACAGTTGCAAAGCGATATAACAACCTTGACCCAGCCGGCTCTCGGCAATTTACAAGGTACTGAACTCAAAACGTATCGCCCACATGTCTCTGTCGCAAAAACCAACTTACGAGTATGCATGCTCTGAATGCCACCGTCGGAAACAAAAGGTGAGCTTGACAGCAGACCCAAACTCTTATTTCCGCCCTCTAACCTTCTGTTAGTGTAACCGGGATTGGCCTTGCGCAAGCTGTACGAAACGTAACGTTCCTATGCTCTGCAAATACACATCAGATCCACCTAGCAAGTCAGAAGATACAACGGAGAAAGGCTATCGTTGTGACAGCTTGATCGCGGTACAAGGTATAGAGAACCTTCGGGCCTGTGGATTAGGTCCCTCATATCTCCAGCAGCTGGGACACAATATCGAAGTAAGCCCACCCAGCAAGCTTGAGTTGGAGGTGAATTGACAGGCCTTGCAGCCGATTCGAAGGCTGCAATTGATCTCTCTGAGTTCGCCTCACCCGTTGAGTGCCCTGATCCCAACAATATCTAGAAATGATGCTGGTAGGGTGACCCGTGCTTATCAGAGCTATTAGCTGATGTTCGGCGCGAGATTTTCTGGTGCAGGTGTTCACTAAGAAGGTCCACATTCACTGTGACATCGTCCACCTAATTTCATTTGTCAAGCAATACTCCGATTGGTGGGATGCACGCTTGGCTAGGGGTACAATCGACCTGCACTGGACTTGTCTTTTATTGGAGGTTTTGGCCTGTGCAGCACAGCAGGCATTTCCCTCAGAGCAAGGGTCACCTGGAAAGCGATTTCACAATGCAGCTGAATCATTGTATTGCGCGATGTACGATAAAGCGTCGGTTTTTGGTTTGCAGCGAATGCTGTATGCCTGCTTCTGGCATAGATGTGAAGGGAATCTGACCTCGTGCCGGACAATGTTAAGCTCTGCTTGGTTAATGACCATTCAGCTAGGTTAGCGTGGCCAATCTCACACAAGTTGGTTGCTAAAATGATACGAACTAACCAGGAATCCATCAAGAACCAGCTGGTTCAGGAATCGACTTCGAAATTGAGATGAAAAGGAAAATATGGCTGTATATGGCAGAGTGGGATCTGTGAGTTCACGCACTGCCATGTTCTCGTTACAAGCTAATAGAGGATTCAGGGAGATCGCAATTCTTCTGTCTCAACCGAGGGTTATGGATCGAACCTGCTGTACCGTGAGGCGCCCAGATGTGTGGCAAAATTTAACTCTCCAGCGAGTCGTTGCTCACATTGAACTTTTCAGACTCGTGTTTGAGCGTCGAGATCACAGCCGGTCGTGGCTGGAGAATGGAATTCGAGTGTGGGAACAAGAGCTGCCACATGATCTCGAATATTCAACTGAGAAACTTCAATCAGATGGACCAGAAGGAAAATTCCACCGGATGTATACTCTCGTTGTTAAGGTCACTGCGCATATCAGTCCATTGGTACCCAGGCCAGGAATGACCTTTGTCAAACCAGAGGATAGGAGTGCTGTTATCGGCCATTGCTTATCGCTGGTGGAATTCTTGCAGGACTTGATTGAGCTGTTGCGAGTGCAGGAGATCAGAATGTTGTTTCTCTCTTATTATATTTTTACATCAATCGCAATACTGTGCCAAGCACACCGCTTGGCGCCCGACAGGCAGCTGACACAGGTGGTTTCTGAGAAAGCTCAGTGGGCGTACGACTATTTGCTCAAGTCCGAGACTAATTCCAACTTGGCAATGGCACTCATACCGGTGCTACCTGAGAATGTCGAGTGCTCGCAGAGTTGGGCAAGCCCTATTGAAGATTCTGAAGCAAAACACTCCACCGAAAGCGTGGAAATGACGGCAACAACCCCCAGCATGAATACCGAGAGTTTCTTTGATACCTTACGTTCGGAAGAGCTTGATGAACTGGCGGGTAAATGGCAACAGGGAGTCCTCAGCCTCAACGAGGAGGCATCAGAAATCCGTAGTGAAGCTTACGCTCTCCACAAGCGATGGGAAAGTCACTATACTTTTCAGAAAGCACCAGCTCAAGAAAAGTCATAGTACGAGCTTATGGTCTCACGAGGGGGAGAACCGATAGTGCGGGGGATCTACGGATGAGGGCTGAAGAGGTGTTGACAGAAAGGACTACATGAATGACCAAGGAACCAAACCGCTGATATTTGGTATTTCAGATCCACCAGTCATTCTGGCAATTCTCTGCTGATGCCTAGAAATTTACTAGTCATTAAACTTTTTGTCATGAGGAAGCTTACTGTTCATGTAAGCAATCGCGCAGGGCGCGTACGGGGAATACGACAAGGATTGCTAGTCACACCTCAGCAGTGGGAGGCCCAAGAAGCTCATAAAGCATAATCAAAGTAACTGTAGAGCAGCTTATCAACCGGTCAGCATAGAGAAACAGCCCGTTATGCTTATAAACTTCCCTCTGCCAGTAGTAGAGTTAGCCACTTCTCTTTTGTCTACTCATAGAATGGCCAAATTGAGTATCTCCGTAGGTCGTAAGCAATCCTCTACTAGTAGGTGGAAGCCCAGGAATGCTTCATTATCCTTATAAGCTTCCCTCTGCTAGCAGAACCAGATTACCTATTACCTTGCGAAAAACACCACCACCAGCTCAGAACACATTTTTGAAAACGCGTCCAGTTTTGTATTCCCCACAGTCTACCTGTATCCTGCTAGGCAATTACTACGGATAACGCGTCTAAAACGCGTCTATCTGTCGTGATGGCGCCTAAGTGGCCGCAGGTAAACAATGGCCCTGAACACATCAACGAGCACGCCGCATACCTCAGAGAAGCATGCAACCAATTGCAGGCCGTAGACAGAGGCAGGCAGAACCAAGTGCCATGGAACATAGTGCACTCATTCATTGCATCCACCATAGAGCTCGCAGACAAGGTGATCCAGCAGCCTGCAATGAGCGAGATCCTCCACCACATCCAGGATACCGCCAAGTGCACGCAGAACATCCAACGAGACGTCTCGGTCATCAAAAACTCCGTGGGAATAGGTACCGCCCCGCTGAACTCAGCCAACTTCAGCGGCGGCAGAGCCGCAGCTGCAACCTGGGCGCAGGTAGCAGCACGGGTCAATGGCCCTCATCCCATACCACCGCCAATCCCATCAAACGCCCGTTCCACCGAGACTCAGCCCACAATTACAGCATACAAAGACAGAGCAGTAACTGTCAAGCTCAAGGATCGCGGAATTTCTCAGAGATTCCGAACGCTATCTACAGTCATGATAAAACACAAAGTAGAAGCATCAATCCGGGAAAATACAGACACCAAGTCAGTAGAGGTAGTAGCTGCGCACCAGCTCAAGAGCGGCGACATACAGATCTTTACATCCTCCACAGCGAATGCCACGAAACTCAGGGAACACAGAGGGTGGATCAGCGGTCTTGGAGAACACGCAGAACTTATTGTACCGACCTACGGAGTCATCGTCCACGGCATCTCCACGAATTCCATCAATATTAAAGATCAGAAAGCAACCATCCAACACATACTCGCAGACAACCATACAGTCATCCCCGAGGCCGAAATCTCATACATTGGATGGTTAACTCGAGAATCACCCCTCAAGCGCGCATCCTCGATTGTGGTAGAGTTCAAGGACCCCGAAATGGCCAACGCCATCATCTACACAGGAATGGCATGGGAAGGGCAGATCCACATCTGCCAGCTCTATGACCGCGCCTGCAGAATAAAGCAATGCTTCCGCTGCTATAATTACGGTCACATCGGCGCTCAATGCGACCAGCTCAGACACGCGGCTATTGCGCCGAACTACACGAGACCAAGAACTGCGGCCAGAAAGGAGTAGAAGGCTTTACTCCCAAGTGCACAGTCTGCAAAGGTATCCACACAGCATGGAGCAATGCCTGCCCGGAAAGGAAGAAAGAGATGGGTAGAGTAGAGCAAGCCAAGCAGATCCGGAACACCTACTGGCCCGTATTCTCCAAAGAGGAACGACCCAAATATGACAATAAACAGGCAAACCGTCGACGCACACGCAACCCTGACAGCAATCAAGCCGTCACGATACCGGATACCCCCATAGCAGAACCCCCAGGTCAAGCAACCAACACCCTGGAGCCACCGATGAGACAGGCAGTACATACCTCTCAGGAACCTCATGCATCCCCGGAAACCAGAGCGAGACCAGCACCTATCGATATACCCAGTGTAGAGGAGTGGACGACACCGGCGACGCAACAAGAGGACACAGAGCAACATCCGCTCATCGACCCACAGATACTGGCAACAGAACCACCGCCCGCGATTATCGTCGCAGAGGACGACGTCCCGGCCCTGGAGACCAATGAAATAGCACCAGCAGATGCAGAGTCAGCTCAGGCATCTCTATATCCTCTTGATGGAATACAGGGAGAGCTCAGCATGGACGACGCAGACGCCTGGCTGGCCAACATAGCAATCAATGACGGCAACGATTGGCTACCTGACACAGCAGAAACCGATGCAATAGGGACTGAGATATCCCCACCTACCTCCATGGCGACCGACACTCGCACGGCTCAAGGAAAGATCTACAAAGCATGCAGATGCCCTCAGCACCAAGACATCTATGACACCTGGCCGACACGCAACGCCAACCTGGTAATCGCCACGTGCATGAAGATATGCACCTACTGTGGCAGGGACTGCACATCAACGACAAACCTCCGGAAGCCCATGACCAGGTCGGAATGCGGCCACAGAAACCTGGAGATAATCGCCGGGAAGTCGGGACGAGGTTCCGCCACCACTCCTGGCTGGACCCACAGAGAACCCGAGGCTGGGTCCTCTCAGCCGGCAACAGAGCCTTTGGGACATCAACCAAACGCCAGGACAACTCGGAGTCAAGCTCTCACACACAGTGCCACAGCCGCCTCACGTTAATGGTGGAACACCGGGAACTACGAATCTTACAGTACAACGTTCAGAAGTCGAGAGACGTCGTCATGGCCAACTTGTTCCAAGACAACAGAACTCTAGAATACGACATCCTGGCCATCCAGGAACCCTGGCGAAACCCAGTCATTGCCACGTCCTATCACCCCTTGAAAACACATTTCCAACTAACCTACCTCGACAACGCGGAAACGCGGGTTTGCTTCTACATCAACAAACGAATCGATTCCGGTACATGGTGTGTTTCATACATTTCCAAGGACATCATATTATTAAAACTCTCCAATCCCCGCATCGACAAAACCATCCATATCTTCAATGTCTACAACGAAGTGGGCACAGACACGATCTCAACACTAGCCGAAGCCATCCGGGAACTAGACCCAAACAGCGATACCGTCGTTCTTGGCGACTTCAACCTCCACCACCCTCTATGGTCAGCAGAACACCGTCGGTCAGGATATGGGCCGAGTGCCCAGCCCCTACTCGCAGTCATAGAGGAATTTGGCCTACAGCTTCTCACAGTACCAGGCACCCCAACCCACCGGTGGAGCGGGGGGGAAACAACGATTGACCTGACCCTTGCCACGGGGGTTGTGGCATCCCGTGTGATCCACTGCAGGATCGACAGGAATCTGGATTGCGACTCTGACCACCTCCCAATTTCCTTGGCGACTGATTGGAACTGGAAACCGGCGACTATGGTTAGGAAGCGCCTATGGGCGAAGACTGACATAACAAAACTTCGACGCACCGTCGAACGACACCTCCCGCAGCTATGTGATAGCACAGAATTGAACGACAAGGAAAGCATCGAGGGACTGGTATCATCGATCGTCAATGCACTGGAGGCAGGTATCGAGGCATCGACCCCGTGGTCTAACCCATCTCCCCGATCCATTGCAGGGTTCAACCAGGAGTGCAAAGAGATCTGTACGGAAGTTCAGCAACTCCGACGAACGTGGCAGCGGACAAGGCAAGAAGACGACTACGAGGCTTACCGCCAGGCACGCAACAGGAAAGGTCGACATATTCAAAAACTCCTCCGCGACACTCACCGCGAAAGAGTAGAGAAGGCATCCTCATCACAACAGGGCTTGTGGAACCTAGTCAAATGGGCCAAGAACAGGCACAACACGGCGGCAGCATGCACCCCGGCGCTAGTCAAACCAGACGGAGAGCTTGCCCAGCAGCCCGAAGAAAAGGCTGAGGTGCTGCGCCAGTCCTTCTTCCCGCCCCCATGTCAAGCGGACCTCTCGGACGTGGAAGGACACGTATATCCGCCCCCGATCGAGTGCCCAGACATAACTATGCATGAGATCGAAAGAACCATACGAAGAGCGGCCCCGAACAAGGCCCCCGGCATCGATGGCATCACCAATGGTGTGCTGCATCAAACGCTTGACCTTCTCCTCCCAGCACTCTACGTACTCTTCAATGCATGCCTTCAGCAGGGCTACTGCCCCATACACTTCAAGGATTCGGTTACAGTAGTTCTACGCAAGCCTGGTAAAGACGACTATGCGCAGCCCAAAGCATATAGACCAATTGCCCTCCTCAGTACCCTGGGGAAGGCAATGGAGGCTATCATTGCCAACCGGCTTGCATACCTCGCTGACGTCCATGAATTACTTCCCAGCCGACACACGGGAGGTCGGAAACTCACTTCGACAGAACATGCGATGCATTTCCTACTTCAACGGATACATGAAGCATGGGCAGAAGGTAAGGTAGCCTCTCTACTATTGCTCGACGTGTCCGGAGCATACGATAATGTATCCCGAGAACGGCTTCTCCACAATCTCAGGAAACGGCGGGTCTGCCAGAACATAGTGCGCTGGACGGAGTCGTTCCTATGTGACAGATCCACCACACTCAAACTGCAGGAGTACACGGCACCCTCGGCGCCCATCCAAACGGGGATTCCACAAGGATCACCCGTCTCGCCAATTCTCTACCTCTTCTACAATGCGGACCTCATCGAGGCATGCAAAACAGAAGACACGGAGGCAGTCGGATACATCGACGACGTATCCATCCTGGCAGTGGGCCCAAGCGCGCAGCGCAATTGCAAGATCCTCAAAGGCATCCACCGAAAGGCGGAAAGATGGGCAATGAAACATGGGTCCCAGTTCGCACCCGCCAAGTACGAACTCATCCACTTCACGAGAGATCCAAAAATGAACTGCACGCATGCCCTCCGTCTGCCACACGCCACGGTCAACGCTTCGCCCTCCTGCCGTTACCTAGGCATCCAAATGGACACCAGACTCCGCTGGGACTCCCATCGAGAGAAGGTGGAAGCACGCGCCACAAAGCGGCTCTCAGCCCTGTCGGCCATAGCGTCGTCGACGTGGGGCACTGGACTCGCCAACCTCCGGCAGGTCTACAGAGCAATGATCGTACCTCAGATGCTCTATGGCTGCTCTGCCTGGCACATTCCCGGCAGCAGCCGCACTGGTAGGGGCAGCTCAATGGTGAATGCTATCATGAAGGTTCAGAGACGAGCGGCCCAGATAATAACGGGAGCTTTCCGGACTACAGCTGGAGCAGCGGTGGATGTGGAAGCGCATCTGCTCCCGGCGCAACAACAGATCGAGCAAGCGGCCCTGGAGAGCGCGATGCGCATCAGAACTAGCCCACTCTATGGTGACATGACCTCGGCCGGAACCAACGTGAAGAGCCCCCTGGACCAACTCTCGAACATTCTGGAAAGGAAATACAGGGTGAACCTCAGCCGCCTCGAGAAACGCCAACCACACTTGGTGCCACCGTGGTGGACCCCGCCTTTCGTCCGAATCGCTGGATCTGCCGACGAGGCCATCGAGGAGCACGATGAGGCGGAACCGGTAACAATACGCATCTACACCGACGGTAGCGGCATCAACGGTCACGTAGGTGCCGCCGCCATCGCACCTGAGCTCCGGATCAATGGCGTCAACGCGAGGCGTCTAGAGTACATGGGTTCATCCAAAGCCTCAACAGTTTACGCGGCGGAGCTGAAGGGAATAGTGTTGGCACTGCAAATACTACGCGACGTGCATGCAACCAGCAGCGCTCCCAGAAAGAGCGCCATCTTCACCGACAACCAGGCCGCCATTCAAGCTCTACAGAACCCCAAGACTCCGTCGGGACAGTACCTCCTGGCGGAGGCCATCCAGGAGCTGGATAACCTTCGAAGCCAAGGATGGGAGCTACAGTTCCGTTGGATCCCGGCACATATCGGCGTGCCTGGAAACGAAGCGGCAGACCAAGCAGCAAAAGAAGCTGCCGGATATGACGCGGTGACAGGAGCACGCTGCGGACCACAAATCGAACACGACACACTACGGACCTTGATAGCAACCACAAAACTCACCGTTCGTCAAGCCATACAAGACGAGTGGACGATGGCGTGGRACACAGCTAAGCACGGCAGAGAGCTACACAAGCTCGGGGTACGACCGGGAAAAGCGACACTTGACAAGCATCAGGGGACGCACCGAGCCATCAGCTCAGTGATCACCCAGATGCGCACCGGCAAAATCGGCCTCCGGGCCTATCTAAGCGCCATCAACAAAGCCGAGACCGACCAATGTCAGTGCGGCCGCGGACCACAAACAGTACGACACATCCTGCTCGAATGCAGGAACTGGATAGAGGAACGACAGGAGATGTGGGCAGGCAAGCAACCATGTGTGGACATCAAGAAGATTCTCTGTAAATCGTCAATGGCAGTACAAGCAGCAAAGATGCTACTCAGGACGGGGCTGCTCGGACAGTTCCAAGCGGTCCCGGCCACAGTCCTCAACACATAAAGTCGACGAGCGAATTCGGTAAACAGAAGGAAAGGAGGGCCGAGAGGCCCGACACGTGCATAGATGCAGAACAGATAAGTAGGCTAGCAGTAGAGGTATCCAGACTTGGGCAGAGGGGGGAGCAGTTCTGTAAGGACACCGGTCGGTCAGACAAGCGAGTCCTGACAGAAGTGGCCTCCTGCTGAAGCAAAAAATGGGAACATCTGTATTGTAGTCTGTACGCTGCATAGCTGCCACTAGGGCGGCTGGGACAGTCTATGAATAAAACAAACAAACAAACAAATAAACAAACAAACAAACAAATACGATGAGCATTTACCAGTAAGTCGAGAAAAAGGGAAATTACCAGTAAAGGCTCCAAGCACTTTCTGGTAAAGGCTCCCGTGGACAGGGCGCTTCAGGAAACAGAGAACGGGAAACAGAAGACGGAAGACGAGAAACTATCCGAGCGCCTACGACAGTAACGACCAATGAGGAGCACTGAACAGCTGTCTAGTGAGTCAATCATGGCTCGTGGTCAAATGATGTCTGGCACTTACAAGCTCCAGGACACGGCGGCAGACATCTTTAAGCTCCTCGGGACATCACATGCCAGTCTGGGGTAGAGACTAACCCCAGGTTTACCCCTCAGTATTCGTGTTTGTTGGACGCTAGCCTACGTCGTTAGCTCATTGTTGGAACCGTTCCGACGATAATCTGCAAGAGCCGGAACGGACCCGTGCCCGCGTTGTTGAGAGTAAACCATCCACAAAAAACTACTATTAGTGAATCCTAGAAGGGAATTCAAGCACTTAGATTCCCTTATCTCATTTGCATTAATTTAAGCCGTATTAATGTTTTCTGTCAGATCGGGGCTATTTCTAGAGTCAGAATCATAATGTATCCAGCTCATGTGAGAGGCGGTTCCCTTCGCAGATCGCAGATCTTCGCAAGCTAGTCCCAAAGCATCGACAGATGTACAGCCCTCAGGGATATCAAATGTGAAATCGTTACAAAGCCCACAGCGGAGACCCTGTGTTTATACTGTTGTTATCGTTATCGGCACGTGATTAGTAGCCCAAAGCCGACCGATAAGAAGCAATCTTGACGTATTCCGCACTGGGGCGAAGTACAGCCAAAAGGCGGAAATACACGTTCGATACCCTGACCTAACCTACCCAGCTTGGGCCTCCTCGGCCAGTGTCACGGTCTTAATAGCAGAGTACTTACTCCATACGTTCTTTTAATGCCAGCTAGCTACAATAATGAGAAATGCCTTGCAAATCTACCATTACTCCTAATTGGTCAACAAGGAGCCCTGCATTGGGTTTCGCATTCCCTAGATATAGTAGCGATATGGGCCGTGCTCAACCTTGTCTGTTTATAGAGGCACAACAGAAGCCAGGATCTCGAGAGAAGCGGAACGTATCCTATCAGCTCCCTAAACAAGCTTTCCCTGCTATTTGAAGTCTTTCTGTTGGAAGATCAACCAACAGGACTGGTTTGACAAACAGGTTTTTGCTTTTCAAGCCGCTCCAAGCTAACCATTCCTCGGGGGGGAGATACATGAGATTGGCTACCACCGATCTACCATAAATCCAGTCTCGTGTTTTATTCCCCCCCTAGCCATTGTCGGCAGTTGAGAATTTATATTGAGTGTGGTGAAGTTCGTTGAGGCAAAAAGTGATGTACCTGTTGGCCAATGGGTAATGAATATTCGTACAGTAGGGGACAAAAAGTATGAAGACCTCCTTGAGGTACCGAAAGGGGCATCTAACTAGAACGGGAGATTATCGCAATACTGCTTTAAGCTTGTATTTTTAACCTTTTACAGTAATTATAAATAGGTTTAATATTTTATATATTAACCTTTTGCAGTAATTATAGTGATAATTTAGTTTAGTATTATATTACAAAGGTTTTTAATACTATATTTTAATGACTATTTTAGGCCTTTATTACAGTTAAGACTGAGGTATATTATATGGTAACTATATTTTCTATCTAAGTTAGTTTTAGATATAATTAATATATTCTTACTTTTATAAGTGCCTATAAATTCTCTATAAGGTTTAAATTAGGTAAATATAATAGTTAAATTATTAGCCTAATTTAAAACTCTTTTAAAAGGGCTCTAACAATTTAGGTAATATATAAAAATATGCTATTATATATAAAAATATGCTATTATATATAAAAATATGCTATTATATATAAAAATATGCTATTATATATAAAAATATGCTATTATATATAAAAATATACTATTATATATAAAAATATGCTATTATATATAAAAATATTACTAGTTTAGGGAAATTAAAGAAAGATATATCAATAGCATTAATATTATTAATAAGAGGTATTAATAGTATATAAAAATTATAATTAAAAGTAGCTCAAAATATTTATTAAATAGTACTTTACCTTTTTGCCTCTTTTATATTTTATATATAAAGAGTTTTATAAAATAAAAAAAGGTCTAAATAGGTTTTAAGCCTTGAATATAATATATAATATATTTATTGATTTGTTTTACATAAAAGGTATTAAAAGAACTGTAATTTAATTATTTTATTAATAGAATTAAGTAAATCTTATATAGTCAAATATAAATTACTTACAATAATAATATAAATTTAATTTTATTACTTTTTTATAAGTTTATATAATATACCTAATTGAGATAAAGAAAAACTGTTCTTTTTTTATTATACCTTATAGTAGTATATTATTTTAAATATTTTAAATTTAATAGTAAGAATAACTTTATTTTTTTAATTTATATATTTAAGACTATAATAAAAACAAAAGCTTTTTACTGTATAGTATTATAATTTATTTTTTAGTGTTATAATATGTATGAAAAAGTGGTGTTGAAAATGCGGTCTCAATCAAGCTAGTTAGGGGGGGAGCTACTTAGGGGGGTCTTTATACTTTTTTCCCCCACTGTACACCGTATCTTGAGGCAATTTAATACGAGCCGCTATCCTTATCTCTATAGCCCGTGCGCGGCCGGCTCGCAAGTACAGGCCCCGATGGCTCCAAACGTGAAGTGATATACTTATCTAAGTGGCTAATCCATCTAAATCAACAAAATTAGGTCTAATTTCACCCATCTTAATACCCTCTTTTCTAACGAGAATATTCAATTACAAGTCTTAGATCTCCTTCTACTGTGGCAAAAATACCTATTTTATGGCCGAATTAACATTTAGAACTCTTGTGGCCTCTAACTAGCTCAGATTATCCCGAGCCCCAGATACAGCATAACTCTCTGCATCTTTCGCTTACCTGTTCTCGACCAGTGGCAACGCTTGCATGCACAGACTGGTCCCAACCTTCCTGACTTCAGGCTATGATGTGCCGGCCGTGCCCTGTCATCCCGCGGTACAGATAGCTTCCCGGTCCTTGACGTTTGAACCCCCCTCTGCTTGGTGTTACGAACCAACAGGCCCCTCACGTGTACCCCACATTTTCCACCAATTACCTCAATTCCCGTTAAAAGACAATCAGCGCCAAGACTCTGAGATCACGACTGATCCACTACGATCAGTACTGATCCATCCGGATCACCACCGATCCAACAACAAACCTCACTGATCACTCAGGAACGCACAAGTATATATACACATTCATTTAGCACTAGATAGAACTTAGCTCACCAGCTATCAATAACACTTCTTTACATTGATCAAGCCTAACACGCATTGAATCTACCATTAAGAGACGTGACACTTCGACAACCGCTCAGCACCACGCCCTACGTAATCTGCCAACAATAACGTACGTCACAAGCGAGTGTCCCAGTATACTGTATAACTAAAAATAACCTACCCTATAGCACTTCTTAAGCCTAAATAAAATAGCTAAAATTCTTTTAAAATTATTTCTAATAATAATATAGCTATTCTTATTACTTATATTTTTTTAAGAATTTTTGCTTTTTTATTTTATATAAAAAAGCTAATTACACAGTGTAAATAGCTTTTTAATATACTAATTATATAAGATTTTTTTTAAACTTTAAAAAAGTTAATATAGATTATTTTAAGACATATATATAAGCTATTAAACTTTTAACTTTTTTAGGCCTATTTTAATTATTTTATAAGCTTTTAAAAACTAGATTTTAAGGTGTATAGAGTAATGGGACACTTGCTTGTGTGGGACACTCGCTTGTGACGTACGTTAAACCCAAGCACGGCTTAGTTTAACATAATTGGACCCAACCGTCACACTTGGTTTCTCTAATAGAGGCCATCGACGCACTACAACATGTAATATAGAGCACAAAAATGCTAAAAAAAAAAACTTACTATTAGAATATTATTAACTATCAATTTATAACATTAATAGGCTAATATATATATATATACTATTAAAATAGTAATAAAATAGTTAGTTAACTTAAGTTATTAAAAAAAAATTAATTAAAGTATTTTCTATTTTATTTTAAAACTTTTGGTAAAGTTAATATTGTGACGGTTGGGTCCAACTATGTTAAACTAAGCCGTGCTTGGGTTTATTGTTGGCAGATTACGTAGGGCGTGATGCTGAGCGGTTGTCGAAGTGTCACGTCTCTTAATGGTAGATCCAATGCGTGTTAGGCTTGATCAATGTAAAGAAGTTTTATTGATAGCTGGTGAGCTAAGTTCTATCTAATGCTAAATGAATGTGTATATACTGGGTGGCTCACGGTGAGTTGTGAGTTGAATCGTGAGTCCATCGTGAGTCGGTGGGGCGGCTCACGGTTGGTCTTTTTATGGTGTAGCGTGAGTCAGTGCCTGATTGGTGAAGATTGGTGGGGCACACGTGACGTAAGCGCCATATCCTGTTGGATCGTAACAAATATAATTTGTTTTTTTTTATTAAAGAATTTATGTTTTTTAAAACTTTTATCTTTTAATTCTTTTTTTAATAATAATAAAAGCTAAAATCTAAATAATAATAAAACTAAAGACTACTCTATAGAGATTAAATTTTCATTCTATTAAGCTAAAGTTTAAGAGGTAGGTTTAGCAGTGAAAGCACTGTGATCTGCTTAAAGAGCCCGATAAAAACTCTTTATAGAGACTTATTTGACTTAGATACAATTTAAGAATGTTTCACACTATCTTTCAGTCCTAAAATGTCTATAGAAAAGGTAAGCCTGATGCGCAGGTCCGGAAAAGCAGCCCATCAGTAATGAAACTTTTTACAAGCTGGTGCAGGCCTGATGTTGAAGATGACGCCTGCTAGACTTTTGAGACAGAGCTGCACCGTAACAGGTCAGATCAGTACATATCCGTTTCTTAGATATGTCTAATGGCTGCGACATAGAGTGTGCACCGCGTTGCTCGCCGTAGCTGGCCAGGCCGTCTTTAGAATACCTAAGCATATCTGGGCTGATCAAGCTAACGTACATGATAAGCATGCGTGACAAACAAGCATGCGTGACAAAAATCCCTCAATTTACATCATTTCTATTGAATCGACTGATTCTCAACCATAAAAAATGCCAGACCCTAATATTGAGGGCAGGGTCCTTTTGGCCCTTCAAGCCCTTCAGAATAACCCAGAATTAAAGCTCCGACGGGCTGCAGAGATCTACAAAGTTGGCCGCATGATGCTATGGCGCAGGCAGAAGGGCATTCAATCTCGGCGCGACTGAGTCCCCGAGTCGCGCAAACTGTCTGATCTGGAGGAGCAAATCATAGTTCAGTTTACTCTCGACCTGGATTCGCGAGGGTTTCCCCCGCGACTGCGTGGTGTGGAAGAAATGGCGAATCCATTGCTTGCCGACCGCGACGCGCCAGCCGTCGGCAAGCGTTGGGCTTCCAACTTCGTTAAGCGACACAAAGAGCTCAAGACACGTTTTTTTCGTAGATATGACTACCAAAGGGCGAAATGCGAAGATCCAATCATTATTCGTAACTGGTTCAAGCTCGTGGAGAACACAATCGCGAAGTACGCCATCCGACCGGATGAAATTTACAACTTTGACGAGACTGGCTTTATGATGGGCGTTATTGCGAGCGGCATGGTCGTCACTGGTACAGACAGGCGTGGGAGGCCAAAAGCAGTGCAGCCCGGAAATCGAGAATGGATTACTGTCATTCAGGCGATCAATGCTGAAGGCCAGGCAATCCCACCCTTCATCATAGGTGCGGGCCAATATCATCTCGCCAACTGGTACCGAGACAGCAACCTCCCAGGCAACTGGGCCATTGCGACGAGCGAAAATGGCTGGACCGATAATGAGAGAGGTCTCGAGTGGCTCAAGCACTTTGACCGGCTCACAACCAAAGGGTCCAAAAACCGCTATCGTCTTCTAATCCTCGACGGGCACCAGAGTCACCATTCTGTCGATTTTGAGAGATATTGCAAAGCAAATAAGATCATAACGCTTTGCATGCCACCTCACTCATCTCACCTACCCCAGCCTCTTGATGTAGGATGCTTTTCTGTACTCAAGCAGGCTTATGGTAGGGAAAATCGAGCATCTGATCCGATGCTCCATCACTCACGTTTCTAAGACCGAGTTCTTTCCAGCCTTTTATGCAGCCTATCAAGCCATCATGACAGAAAATAATATCAAAGCAGCGTTCAGAGGGGCTGGCCTCGTTCCTCTCAACTTGGAAAGTGTGGTCTCAAAGCTTGATGTGCAGCTACGGACCCCTACACCGGTTGAGGAGGAGGCTGGCCCTTCGACAGCTTGGGTGTCAAAGACGCCAAAGACGGTGCTCGAGGCCGGATCACAATCTGAATACCTCGAGAGACGCATCAGGCGGCACCATAGTAGCTCTCCAGAGTCAATTCTGGAGGCGTTAAAGTCATTTTCCAAAGGAACTAAAGCGGTAATGCATAAGGTTGCCTTATTGACAGCTGAGGTTCAACATCTTCGGCAAGCAAATGAGATACTTAGCCGGCGGCGAAGGGCGAAAAGAACGCGACTACAGAAAGGAGGTACAATGACAATAGAGCAAGGAAGGCAGGCAATTGGTCAAATAGACGGCGATACGCAGGTAGCGACCGAATCGTCGAGAACTGGTGGTCAGGAAGGGTCCGCGCGAGCGAAGCAAAGGCGCTGTGGAACATGCGGCAAGGCCGGACATAATGCAAGATGTCAAATAGTCGTTGCCATGTCTGAATGAGAACACAAAGCTAGATTTTAATTGATCCAGTAGTTCACTGTGTTTTTATGATGGTTTCAATTCTCTGGAAGTTGAGATGCTGTCACGCATGCTTGTTTGTCACGCATGCTTATCATGTACGTTATCTTATAAGAAGTTAAATCTGATACTGTGCGATGCATGAGCCCATGCTTACGGCTCGTGGTCAAATGATGTCTATTTTTAGGGATTGACTCTCCAGCGATACTGAGCCCTCGCGAGGGAAGCAAACTCCAATATCGGCTACGCGCATCGGGCCTCCTCCCGACATGTAGAAGCCATCTTGTCTGGATGAAGAAAGGGAGTAAGGCTACTTTTTGAGACTGTACGTTCTAGCTAATTCTGGCATTTTCCCTTGGCCATGTATCGTCGTTTCGTCTTGCGCTGTCGCCTCTGCTGGACTTGCTCGGACGTCCGAAGAGTAACACCATGAACTTCTTGCACGTRGCGGCGGAAGTGATTGATATGTTTCAGTTTGACGTCGCGACACCTGGGGTGCTCGCAACGTATCTTCTCACCGCTCCGCTCAGCCTGTTCGCGTCTGATTAGGTGACTGTCATCGAAATGGTCATTCATGACAGTCGGGCGGCAGTATGTAAAGGTGCGCTCTTCTCGACAGAGTCGCTCATCGCCGATGCAATCAGGGCATTGCGCTGCATGCATGAGCAGAGGGAACCTGCCAGGCTGGATAACGGTTCGTGTTCTGTTTCGAGAGGCTCCGTGTTGATGGGCAGGCAGCCATTGGTCCTTTGGCGGATGCGATCACGCTTAACCGTCTCTCTCTTATTGCAAAGAGTTACCATGAGATCGACGGCTTCGATCTTGAGCTGGAAAATTCGATCTTCGCTTAAGTCATCAGACTGGTGGCAGAAAAGCTCCGCCAATCTTGCGCGTTCGGGAACGGAGAGATTGACGACCGGCTCTTCGTACTCTTCTTCTTCCCCCCGAGCATGTCTTTCAACGTCCCAGGTAGGGCGGTTATAAAAATAATGCTCACGATATTCTTTCACCGCTCGCTTCTCGCGCTG